AAATTATAAATTATTTTAAGGATATTTCAATTTGTTTTCATTATTTGACTGATTAGTATGTTTATACTAAAACAATTAGACCTAGAGGTCGAGTGGACTAGAGCTAATAGCCCATTRGGCCTCGCGGACTCGGCCTCATGGGCTATTAGCTCGTAGTCCACTTGACCTCGAGGTCTAATTGTTAATGAATTTTAGATGTTGATGGAAAATAGTGTAAGGAAGAACATTAAAGAAATATGATGAAATATTGATAAATTTTAACTAATATTATTTGTTTTTAGGAGTTGATCACTTCAACAGTAACATGTTTGTCCTTCTCAATTATGGCTACAGTGTACATGTTCAGTATGGTCGCCGACATATGCTGACAGCTTTCTTTGGTGGAGGAATAGCAGGCTGTGCAGCACAATTCTCTCTTTACTTATATCAGAAGGTTCAATGGGAAAACATCCTTCCTTCACCAAAAACTTGGAAAATGTTTGGAGATACATTTGTATCACATCTGCATAACTGGCAAAGAAAGGCCCTTTCGAATGTCTTTTCACATGTAAATGCATGGAGGCCGTGTATTGGTTGTAGTGCGGCTTTGTCATCTCTTATGGCAGTAGAAGCTTGCTACAACATRTCATCTTTAACTGAAAAAATGAGGCAGCCAGTGCCTGTGTTAGATTGGGAAGTACTGCACCAAATGTCACAGTTGTTATTTACAAGTCTTGTTGTCTATGAAGATTTTAGAATGCTGRTAGGAAGCACTMCTAAGGACAAAGGGTTTTTAGGCAGCCTTGTTGCTTATTCTGTTGATGGAGTTGGACATGCAGCACATMTYGGAGGCTTTGTGTTTGGATTACTGTATTTTGCATTTGTTTTATATGGCAAAAGGAGATCAAAAATAGAAGTAAAAGGCAAAAATGGGAAAGARAAAGGCTAGAAAAAAATGTCCCACTTATCTATTGACAGATATTTACAAATCCATGATAATCATTTAATTCAACATAAAACAAATATGTTTATAAATTCTTTCTTATAACATACTACCAAGTTTTAAGCAGTGCTGAACGATAATATAACCAAATGTCATTTTTTAGAATTCTTAATTTTTATAATACCAGTTATCATACAATAACAATTTTCACTTGATTTCAACCTTGTTCCCAGSSCRTTTT